CCTCAGTTTTCTTCCGGAAGATGGTGGTTACCTTGTGGGAGAAGCGGAAACCCTCTACTGTATGGTGCAGAGGGAGATCCTGGACAAGCTGGAGCAAGGGATCATCGAGAACCCGACGGAATGATTCGTAAAACTGTTAAAACGCGAGCAATCCTCCTTTCCTCCTCCCCTCTCCTCTCCCCCCCCTCTTCCTACCCTCTTCCTAATTTCCCCCCTCACCAGGCCAATCACCAGCAGCAGTCGCAGACATCTCTTTGGGTCGCTTCGCTTGAGACGCCTCAGAAGCAATTCTCCTCTCCTCCTCCCCTCTTTTCGCGCTGCCCTCTTCCTCTTCTCCTGTTTTCCGTCCACCAGGCCTATCACCAGCAACAGTGGTTGGCATTCCACTGGGCTGCTTTTTCGGGTTTTCTCTTCTCACTGCTACCCTTGTGTTGTTACTCCTCCCCAAATGCTAAACGCGAATCACTCTCAAATGCCTCTCACAAAACCTGCGAGAATTGTCTCAAGAGTGATTCCACCACACTCTTTGCTTGCCTGCTCGTGATTAAAACCCGGAGCCTGAGTTACAAAAAGTGTTTTGAGGTGTTAACACTTTCCCTCCCGAACTAGGGTGGTTACCAGGTGTCCAACTGGTAAACGTGAGCACTAATTTCTCCGCTCTATCAGTTTTCTCCGTGCTTCACACTCGCAGTCAGCACCTGCATTTCCCTTCGATTGAGTATGCGCGCCGCACCTACCATACGATAGTCCATAAATTGTGTTCACTTGATATGCTTAGCTGGTGTGAGCAATGCTTGGATTCTATAGTGTCTGAGTTTTTAGCTGATTCTGTCGGCGATGTTATTTTCTGCTCTACTCCGTCTCTTGACTACAAACTACTGGGATGCGACGTCCGATATCATCTCGTCGACTCACGGGAGAGTCGCATCATTTTTCGCTAACCTGCAACCTTTTGCAATTCTTCCGCACCTCATATTGCCTGAACCCCTGACCTACCAAACCAAGCAATGATCGGTTTTTATAATTCAGGTTTCTGGTTTTAATTGTACTGTGAAGTAACTCTCAGCAATAATAATAAACAAACTCTATTCCCCACCCACCACCGCAATTTCACCCATGTTCCACCAGGCAAGTGGGGCGACTTAGACGTGTTTCATGAGTTCTCCTTGCAGCAGCTAGTGCAAGCCACTGATAATCGGGCTGAGGTTAACTGGTTAAAGAGGGGCGGCTTTGCAACGGTGTAGCTGGGGGTGTCGCCGCAAGGGGAGATATGGGCTGTGAAGCGATGCCACGTGATGACGAATGACTTTGAGAAGGAGGTGCGACTATGGTTGGATAGGGAGGAAGGAGAGGCATGTTAGAGGGGGCTTTGCAACGGTGTATCTGGGGGTGTCCCCCATAGGGGAGATGTGGCTGTGAAGCGATGCCGCGTGATGACCAACGACTCTAAGAAGGAGGTGCGTACATCGAATATGAAGAGATTGTAATTATGTGAGCTTGTGTCCTCCACAGGGAAAAGTGGGCCGTGAAGTAATGTTGCTTGATGACAAGCATTTAGAGGAGGTGTGTGGGGAGGTAGCACAAACAGGTCAGACAAGTGAACTGAAAACATGAGAAGGGAAAGCAGGGGTGCAGCCGTGTGCTCCTCCTATGAGCAGGAATTGCATTCAGATAGTTAGCCTTGTGTGCTCTTCTGGTCCCCTTCTATCCATACACAGGAGCACACTATGGCAACGCTACGGCATGAGAACCTGGTGTGGCTGCTTGGTTCTGTGTGGACATGCAGGTGGAGAGCACAATGGTACCGGAAGGGGGAAAACAACACAAAGAAAAGAACATGCTTATCCATGGTCTCCCTCCTGCTCCCTATCTATGCTCTCCCCTGCTGTCCATACACAAGTGCGAGCAATGGCAACCTTTGACGCATGAGAACCTGGTGCAATTGCTGGGGTTCTGCGTGGACATGCAGGTGGAGAGCGGGCGGCAAGAACAGGTGTTGGTGTACGAGTATGTGGGCAATGGTGACCTCAAGAACCACATCCACCACGCCAAGTGTACGCTTCTAACGTATTTCTCAGGTTGTGTGTATTGGAACACTGCCGGTGCATGGAGAGTGCTGGGAAGGAGCAGGTGTTGGTGTTTCATTCTGTGTTCAGTGCTCCAGTCTGTGCTCCTCACACAAGGCAATGGTAGCCTTGTTGTCGACGTACAGCACTGGAGGGGAACGAGGCCGCTCTCCCAAGTTGGTCAGCAGGTAGGTAAGCCAGCGTAACTCATGTGCAGCCATGGTTGTGGCGTAGATCTCAGCCTCACAACTGGAGCTGAGAACTGAAGACGAGCGTGTAGAACGCCAAGAAACTGAGCTAGAGCCAAGGCACTGCTGCGCCGGCCTGCCTGCCTGCCAGCCGAGCCGCGCCGCCCAGCTGAGCCGCGCTGCTCAGCCGTGCCGAGCCACCCCGCCGAGCCGCGTCGTGCTGCCGAGTTATGCAGCCCGCCTCTACTGAGCCGCACTGCCGTGCCCGCGCTGTTACTACTGCTACTACATCACAAAAAACCTGGGTTTTTGAAGGGGGTTCGAAGGGGTGTACATTTCAGGTGTTTTGGTTGGCGAAGCTTCGAAACGAAATCGCGACCAATCACGGAACGAAATCGGACCGCGTTTGTTTGTTGGAGTTGGAATTCAATTTCGGGATGTCGGACATTGTCGGTGTTTTGTTGTTTGCCAAAATAGTCATCATTTTGGAATAGATTTAGTTAGCTATGACTTCAATAAAGTTTGACAGTGCATATACAAGCTGGCTATTTTATTACTTGATTAATGCATTACATATGATACTTATTTAGGAGATAGGCACTGTCCAGATGGAACGCCTTCACCACATGGACGTGCCGAAAGTAGCGCTTCAAGCGGAATCACGGAGTACGCATACACTCCAGTCATCCACTTGAGGCGAGTGCATCCAGTTGCAGCATCCTCCCCGCACGCATTCCAATATCTAATGTAAGCCAGCTCCTCCCTCTTTTCACGGATTTTTGTGTGGTACACAGCAGCAACCTTGCATGTCACTCTCTCTGAACGTACCTTATACCCTCTACTGCAACATCCGAGTACCACGGCCGCTCAAAATAGTCAGGCGTCGCCTGAACGAAGTGAGAAACCATTGAGAAGCTGGCATCATCTGCCGCTAGGATGGCCAAAAATGCATGGGCCTGCATAAGAGTGGCAGTTTGTATGCATTTGGAATAGGGGCAAGAAAAAAATGATTGTATGATCCACAAAGTACTTACTCTGATCTTGGAGACGCATCCAGCATAACGTACTAGCGCATCCTTGAGGGCAGCTTGTGCAACTGGGTGTTGCTTGGCCCACTTCCTTGCAAACCAGTTGGTGGAGGTGGGTTCTTCTGGTAACTCCATAGGGAGAAAGTAGGACTCTTTGATAAGAGTCCGTGTGCCTGTCTCAATGGCCTGCCAACAAACAGTAGCAAGTTTATTACATTATGCATGCATAGCATTGCAATTCAATCCAGCCAGCGCGATCGTCCACTGGCACAACGTCCGGAATGCGCCTAGCATGGAACTTCATAATCTGACCATCTACATTGTGCTTGTTGGACCGCTGGTAGATCCTCTTTACCAACGGTCCGTGCAAGTGCTCGAAATGTTGGTGCTGAATTGTTGGGTGCAAATTCACATTGCACGACATCCTGCCGTCTGTTTGTACGAGTATGCGTGTGCGAATGCATTTGCGTGTGAATGGTATGCTTGTGTGTTTGTTTGCTTTCGCAATTTTCGCTTGAAGCATTTGCAGGTACTCGCAAAATGTGCGCTTCGGCATAACATTGTACGCGCTATGAACAGTACAAGCAGAAAGGACGAGCTCGCAAAGGAACCCAAGATGGAAGCTTTGCGGTTCAACTTACTTGATTGCGCAGATTCAGTTCTATCCAACTCGAAATTGTACTGTTTTGTTTGGTTGACTATAGTGTAGCAGGGCAGGCACTATAGGGGTACAATTTAGGTAAAGGTTGGATGTTGTTTGTCTGTATCTGCATGCTACAGGGCCAGGGGAAACCAGCGGAACCAGCATTTGGCTGGTTGGGCAAAGACAAAACAGGTTCTGTTTTAGGACCTGAACCTGGTTGTTGTTTTCCCAGGTTGGAAAAACAGAACCAGAGGTTGTTCACCAACCTATCACCTGCTATTTTGTCCAGCCAGGTTGGTTCTGTTGCTTGGAATTATTTGGGATCATCCCTGGTTGTTCCCAGGTTGATTCCCAAGGTCCTTGCTAGCTAGAACTATTTATTCCTTCTCTGTTTGTACCTGAATATAGTGAAATTGATTCAAGCGAATTCCTTCCTTGCTGGAATTTCTTTTCTACGCGGTGCGACGGCGGAATGCTACCCGAGTCAACGCTAGTACGCTAGCACTCCAACGCTAGACTAACGCTGTCCGAGCCATAACTTCGTAATGGCAGAACTTTTCGCGAGGCAACTTGGCTTATTTTAAAGCTCTTAGAGTGAGCTTCGATATAGGAAATTCTCAGCTTAATCCGATCGACGGTCTGCACGATACGCTGCGCAACGTTCAAGGTACTCTTGCTGTTTTGACTAAGTCCCTCTTGATCCCTCTCTCTACAAACTCGGACCCAAGGATAGGGGCTGGTCTTGTACCAGGCACCCAAGGACCCTTGGAGGTGACCCCGAGGAGAGGTTTTAAGTGTGATAAAGTCTTAATAGCTTGAGTTTATTAGGCCCTTACACCAACAAGCTGGTATCAGAGCTGCGTTATAGTGATCCTCGATATAGGTAGCTATGGCGGGCAACACCTCGGCGGTAGCTGGTGAATCTTCAGCCCAAGATCGTAGCGGCAGCCATGATTCTGGTGTTTCTGCGCCAAGGGGAGCGCGAACAAGCCAGGGCTCGCTGATCAAGGAGGTGCTGAAAAACTTCACCGTCGAGAAATTCAATGGTGAGGGCTATGATGATTGGGCCTGGAAAATGCAACTTTATTTCCGTCAAATCGGATTGCTGAAACTAATGATTGGGGAGGAGCCTAGACCGAGTGACCCCGCCCTTCAGGAAGATTGGGACGAGCGCGCCTCGGCTGGCTACTACTTGATGTCGCAGAGTTTGGAGCTGAACCAGCGTCACCACGTCATGCACCTGCTGCCGGAGGTTGAGTGCGGTCCGAAGGCGTGGACGGTGTTGAAGGAGCTGCACGCCCCGACCTCCGTTGTTGCAACATTGATGCTGGAGAGGGAGCTGTCCGCGTTGCGCCTGAGCGAGGGAGAGCCGGTACAACCTGTCCTGGACAAATTGCGCGACCTCTACGCGAAGTTGGCGATCGCGGGAATCACCTACCCGGAGCAAACAAAGTGCTTGAAGATGCTGCTTCGCTGCTGCCGGAATCGTGCTCAATATTCACGAGCGGATTGAGCCTGCCGCAGAACCAGAGCTCGTGGACACTCGAGTGGGTGCGGACAAAGATTCTAGAGGAGGACTTCCGTCGCCGTCAACTGAGGGGTGGAGACGACGGCAGCAGCGGCTACGGGATGCAAGGGAGCCGACGTGGCAAAGGACGTGGCTTCGGTGGTGCTGGACGCGGTGCAAAGAAGGACGACGACTCCAACGACCAACAAGGAGGTACCGGTTGGGGTCGCGGTGCGAAATCTGGACGTGGGGGCAAGTCGGGTGCTGGTGGCAAAATGAAAGGGAGTTGCTGGTATTGTGAGAAGGAAGGGCACCCCTGGTTTTTGTGCTATAAGAAACCCGATGGATGGACCCCCAGAATCGTCACCAGGATGGCGGCGCGCGGAGGAACCAGAAAAACGGCGCCAACATGGTCGCTGATTCGTCCGACAACAACCCGAAGGGCAACGGCGGTGCGGAGAAGAAGAAGGAGCGCACCGCGGGCCAATTCTTCCATATGGGAGACAAGGGGGAGCAAGGAGACGCATCTGCTAAGGCTAGAGCAGAGCTGCACCCCCTGGACTATTGGGTGTTGGACACAGGCGCTGCTTGGACAATGACGCCGCGCAAGGACCTGCTGGACGACGTACGCGCGCTGCACCGATTAATGAGGTGTGCTCTGCCTCTGGACACATGTTGAAGGTGGCTGGTGCGGGACGAGCTGCATTTAAGGGAGCGGATGGCAAGCCGGTGGTGCTGCACGACGTTCTCCTCGTCCCCGACCTGAAGGCCAACCTCATCTCCCTCCGTAAGCTTGGCAAGGCTGGGGTGAACACCAACACGGATGGGGCTCGCACTTATAAGGGGAAGCTGGGCAATCGGGTGCTTTGGGATCTGCACGAGAGCAAGGACGTGTACAGATCTATGTGGCAGCTGCCGGCGCTGGCGTGGCACGGTGGGGGGCAGGCTGGAGAGGGGTCTGCATCCCAGGGGGAGTGCAACGCCGTTGGAGGGGTTGGTGTGAAAGTGTCGGCCAGATCTGGGGAGACAGATTGGGCAACTGCACACCGACGTTTGGGGCATGTGGCAATGCCTTTGCTGAAGCAGCTGGAGAAGGATGGAGCCGTTAAGGGCTTAAAGCTGAACGGACAACCACCCGATGATAACTGTGAAATTTGCCTCCTTTCAAAGTTCACCCGTTTCCCCTTCCATAGTGTGGCTGGCAGGAGCAAAAAGCCGTTGGAGCTGGTCCACATGGACTTGGTGGGGCCGCTGCCGGTGCAAGGGCACAAGGGGGAGCGGTACTTCCTAACCATAGTGGATGACTGGAGCAGGCTAATGTGGGCGTATCCGCTGAAGCAGAAAGATCACGCCGCCTCCACGATTCGGGACGATTGGCTGCCGTTCGTGGAGAAGCAAGCGGAGTGTGTGGTGAAGCGGATTAGGACAGATCGGGGTGGTGAGTTCCTTGGAGCTGAGATGACGGCCTGGCTCAAGAAGCAGGGCATCCAGAGGGAGCTGACCACGGCTTACACCCCACAGTCCAACGGTGTAGCAGAACGGGGCGAACCGGACAATTCTGGAGACAGCTAGGGCGCTGCTCATAGAATCTGGGCTGGGCAACTTGATGTGGCCCCATGCTGTTCGGCACGCTACTGTCGCTAGGAACAGGGTACTCACAAAGGTTGGGGATGACTCGTGGGTGCCGTTGGAGAGGTGGCTTGGGAGGAAGCCGCCGGTGGACATGCTGAGGGTGTTCGGTTGCATGGCAGTCGCCCACGTTCCCAAGACCTATCGCAGTAAGTTGGGGGCGAGTGCAATCTGGTGTGTGCATTTGGGGCTGGCTGCTGAGAGCAAGGGATGGCTGCTGTGGGAGCCTTCCAAGGGTGTGTTGTTTGACAGCAGGGATGTGAAGTTTGTTGAGGGCATGATGTATGGGAGCTGGGAGAAACAGCCGGAGGCCAGGGTGTCCAGCAGATGGAGCAGATTACCATGCAGCTGGACCTGACTCCTAGTGTGTGGGAGGAGGGAGAGGAGGCAGCTGCAGAGGGTGGTGATAAAGAGAAGGTGCAGGAGGCACCTGCTGGTGGAGGTGATGGTGTGGAGATTAGCGGTAGCACTAGTGGAGCTGCTGGATCCGAGGGAGGAGAGCAGCAGCAGGGGAAAACTAAGAAGCCGAAGGGTGTTATTATGAAGGGATGGGAGACACCCGTCTCCAGGCCAGGACGTACCCGTATGGCTACTAAGAAGCTGACTGCAGGAGCTGATGTAGCGGAGCAGCAGCTTGGGACCGAGGAGGCATTGCTGATTCTACCGCATGGCTATGACCCGGATGAGGAGGATCAACCTGCGTACTGTTTTCTTGCCCCTGCACCAGAGGAACCAGCTAGCATGGAGGAGGCATTAGCTGGACCAGATAGGGACAAATGGCTAGCTTCCAGGGATGCTGAGTACCAGAGCCTGCTGGAGAATGGGACTTGGGAACTAGTGGTGCTGCCTGAGGGAAAGAAAGCGGTACAATGCAAGTGGGTGCTAAGGATCAAGACTGACGACAAGGGGCAGGTCACCATCTACAAGAGTAGGTTGGTGGCTAAGGGGTTTATGCAGAAGGAGAAGCGGGACTTCAATGAGATCTTTGCTCCCACTGCCAAACCCCCTACCCTTCGTGTCTTGTTGGCAGATGCAGCCGTTAGTGGGAAGTTCATTATCCAGATGGACATATCAACGGCATTTCTCAACGGGATTTTAGAGGAGGAGGTGTTCATGACGCAGCCACCTGGGTATGAGGATGGTACGGGCAGGGTGTGCAAGCTGAAAAAGTCCATCTACGGCTTGAAGCAGGCGCCACGCTGCTGGTACCAGAAGTTGGCAGCTGTTTTAGAGGAGATGGGATTCAGGACCAGCAGCTGTGATGAGAGCCTCTTTCTCAAGGGGGAGGGGGAGAAGCTGGTGCTGTTTCTGGTCTATGTGGACGACATTCTTCTCTTTAGCAGCAGCATGAAGGAGATCCAGAAGGTGCAGCAGCAGCTGATGGAGAACTTCAAGTGCAAGAACCTTGGGGAGGTAAAGTACTACCTCGGGATGCACGTGGAGAGGGATCTGGATCACAGGTGGTTGAAGCTGCACCAGGAGAAGTTCATCAAGGAGCTTGGGGAGAAGTACGGAATTGAGAATGAGCGCAAGGTTGCAACTCCCCTGCCAGCAGAATTCAAGCTTGTGAAAGCTGCAGAGGATGAAGGGGTTGAAGCCGAGGAGCAGCAGCAATTTCAGTCCTTGGTGGGCAGCCTCTTGTATGCAGCAGTTCACACGAGACCCGACATCTCTTTCTCGGTTGGGCAGCTGGCTAGGGTAGTGCAGAATCCATCAGAGGAGCAGGTGGATGCAGCTGAGCGTGTGGTGAAGTATCTGAACTCTCACCCAAGCATTGGAGTTCAATACTCCGCATCTGCACAGGTGAAGCAGAAAGGGGTTGAGGTGCTGAAAGAGAAGGGGGAGAGGCTTGGAGAAGGCAAGCTTTTTCTCACTTGCTTTACTGATGCTACGTGGGCCTCTGAGAAGGAGGATTCCTCATCTGTGGGAGGATACATCTGCGTAGTTGGGGGAGGACCGGTTAGTTGGAGGTCAAAGAAGCAGACGGAGACAGCACTCTCTTCCGTGGAATCAGAGTACATGGCGATGTTCCATGGGGTGAAGGAGGTGATTTGGCTGAGGAGGCTGTTGGAGGAGATTGGCCAGGAGCAAAAGGTTGCTACGCCGCTGTTTTGTGATAGCAAGGGAGCTCTTGGGATGGCCAGGAACGCTGTGCTTCATGGGCTGAATAAGCACATGCGTATCAAGTGGCACTGGCTGCGTAAGGAGGTGAAGAGGGGGACGGTGAATCCGATCTACATCAAGACTCACCAGCAGCCAGCAGACTTCCTCACCAAGAGGCTTGCGGATGAGTCTCATTGGCGTTGTGTGCGCATGAGTGGAATGAGCATGAACTAGTATGGAATGATGGGGATGCAGCCGGCAGGCTGAGGGGGAGTGTGTTGGGTGCAAATTCACATTGCACGACATCCTGCCGTCTGTTTGTACGAGTATGCGTGTGCGAATGCATTTGCGTGTGAATGGTATGCTTATGTGTTTGTTTGCTTTCGCAATTTTCGCTTGAAGCATTTGCAGGTACTCGCAAAATGTGCGCTTCGGCATAACATTGTACGCGCTATGAACAGTACAAGCAGAAAGGACGAGCTCGCAAAGGAACCCAAGATGGAAGGTTTGCGGTTCAACTTACTTGATTGCGCAGATTCAGTTCTATCCAACTCGAAATTGTACTGTTTTGTTTGGTTGACTATAGTGTAGCAGGGCAGGCACTATAGGGGTACAATTTAGAGTTGGATGTTGTTTGTCTGTATCTGCATGCTACAGGGCCAGGGGAAACCAGCGGAACCAGCATTTGGCTGGTTGGGCAAAGACAAAACAGGTTCTGTTTTTAGGACCTGAACCTGGTTGTTGTTTTCCCAGGTTGGAAAAACAGAACCAGAGGTTGTTCACCAACCTATCACCTGCTATTTTGTCCAGCCAGGTTGGTTCTGTTGCTTGGAAATTTTGGGATCATCCCTGGTTGTTCCCAGGTTGATTCCCAAGGTCCTTGCTAGCTAGAACTATTTATTCCTTCTCTGTTTGTACCTGAATATAGTGAAATTGATTCAAGCGAATTCCTTCCTTGCTGGAATTTCTTTTCTACGCGGTGCGACGGCGGAATGCTACCCGAGTCAACGCTAGTACGCTAGCACTCCAACGCTAGACTAACGCTGTCCGAGCCATAACTTCGTAATGGCAGAACTTTTCGCGAGGCAACTTGGCTTATTTTAAAGCTCTTAGAGTGAGCTTCGATATAGGAAATTCTCAGCTTAATCCGATCGACGGTCTGCACGATACGCTGCGCAACGTTCAAGGTACTCTTGCTGTTTTGACTAAGTCCCTCTTGATCCCTCTCTCTACAAACTCGGACCCAAGGATAGGGGCTGGTCTTGTACCAGGCACCCAAGGACCCTTGGAGGTGACCCCGAGGAGAGGTTTTAAGTGTGATAAAGTCTTAATAGCTTGAGTTTATTAGGCCCTTACACCAAACATGAATTCCGTGAGATGACCCACCCGGCGAATGGAGTCAATGTAGTGCGACATGAGATGGGTTTTCACAAGGCACCAGGAGGATGGCTGCTTTGGAAAAGCAGCCTGCAACTGCTCAACCAGCCTGATGGGAGTGGGAGTTGACAGCATATGCTTTATCGAACATGCTTTCACAAGGACATCAGAGTCTACTACAACATACCGCAGCCTACTTTATTTGATATACTATCATGGTTTATCAGCAACATCCTGTGAAGATAGGTTACTAAACAGCTTAGGTGCCGTGGCTAGGCATTCATGCAATGCCCAGGGTTGTACATGCATGTTAATAGTACCGGGAGGTCTTCTTCTTGAGATCCCGCAAGGACCGCTCGGTGTGCCCTGTTGGCTGGCAACACAAGAGGTACCAGCCAAGATAGGCACGAACAGCATCCATCTAGGGCTGGCAAAGCAGGCCAGCAAAGACAAACACCATGACCTGCAAATTTCAGGGCTTATCACAGCAGGGGGGCATGAGTAGTTGGGACATGTGTAAGAAGATGAGCAAAAAGTGTTCGAGGCGGAATTAATTAAAGCAGGAGAGAGGGTACTGAGATGCAGCAAGGGGTGTGTGTAGTCTGGAATCGGCATGCCACTTCTGCATGGTGCATGCTATCGCACAAGATGATCACATGCACCATGGCTTGCACACCTGCATGACGGCCCTGTGCTCATAGGCCGCGACACATGCTCCAGTCTCGAAGTAGGCGCTCTCTGGCAGGCGCAGGTGGTTCAAGCGCGTGCGGTCGCGAATGAGCGACAGGCGCCTGCGCATACACAACAGTTCAAGGGCAGGCACAAATATAGAAACATGTAAGTAGGAGGAGGAGGAGAGTGCGGATTGGAGTGTTGTTGACAACGAGCAACAAATCTAATCCCCCAAGGCACTGACCTGTCCATCTGCTTCACGCGCTGCTTCTTCATCTTGCGCACGACAGCCACAATGTGGCTCATCATGCCCAGGTCCGTCTGGTGCATGATGTCAGGCATGATAACGAGGTAGGGATTGCCCCACACAGTCCCTGGGACATCCCGCTTCCAGAGCACACACTGGAAAAGGGGATGTGGTGGGGAATGGTAGAGAAAGGTATTTGAGAGACTCGACACACAACATGTGGGACAGTGCAATGGGGTATAGCACATCTCCCCAAGGTTTGAGCAACACGGAGTGCGTAGACTACACAGTCGCCCGGGGAACAGGTCGCTCACCTCAACCGGGTAGGTCGAGTAGGTCTTGCATTGGTCGTCCTGGCTTGATGTCAACCCTGCCGCCTTATTCATGATCCATTGCTGCTGTTCAGGCGGCGTGCGCGGCGTGTTCCATGCCTTTACAGCAACCAGATGCTCCTGGTGTAGCACAAAGAGTGGGATGGGATGAACAAGTAAGGGAGGTGAGATTATGAGGTCCGTCATGTGACATTCGGATGGCGATGGTTCTGAAGGCACGCCGATCGCATATTTTCTCACCTTTGCAGCATAGCAGATGCTGCACAACATCCGCGATCCATGCAAGAGTGTGCAACTGATCTTGCCGCTCTCAGGGTAGTCGCACACCCAGGCGTACAGCAGGGGCCGCACGGTTTGCCAATCACCAAAAGGGTCCCTGAGACGGAACCTGCTGCAAGGAACAGGTATTGTGGCAACAGGAACAAGGATTTCGGCTTTGTGCATTGGCGAAGAGGGACAAGGGGGACTGTTACATACCGAAACGCTGCGCATACTATGACGTTGATTGGGTGACGACATAGCAAGACAGAAATTGAGAACGGACCTTTCCATGCCATTGAGAAGCGGCTGCAGCACGGTGATGACGCATCGCTGGAAGAGCATCACCTTCTCCACGGCAGACATTACAGAAGGGGGGATAGGAAGGAGAGCAAGTAGCGTGTGCCCGGCTTTCCCCATCGCTTGGCCTGGGAGATGTTTGCAAGCATCATCATTAGCGGCCACGCCTTCTTCCGGCCATTGTTGCTCATGTGCGTCATATCCGAGTATAGGATGATACCCCCCACGACTTCGGACCATCCAAAGTGTTCCTGCAAAGCATGACAAAGAGGGAAAAGGCACACGGTCAAACACCAACAAGGCAACTTGTCACCAGGCGGACTAAGCATGCTTCAAAGAACTCCCCACAAACATGACACACAGAAGATGCTCCCTACACATCAGCGCATCAACGGAGGCATGCGCACTCTTCTGGTTTTGGGTGGCAACGGGGTGTTTCCATACCTGAGCGTCGTTCCACCACGTTCCAGTTTCTGGCGTGGTATAGCGACGCTCGCCTGTGTCAGGGTCCTCATCAACACCAGCCTTGAGCTTGAAGTTGGGCGTATTGTTGGTATGCCCAAACAGTTTGACAAACGCCTGGCGTACTCTGGCAAGAGCAGGAGAGAACCAAACCCTGGTTAGTGGCGTTGAAGGTGGGGCAGATCTCACACAAGCCGAACAGAGGCAACGTTCAACAAGCACCAAATGGATGCGGAATCTGCATTTCACAGCCACGGATTTAGATTCAACTTACCTGCGCAGAGTTCTGAAAGAGAAGGCACTGTGGCGGATGAGCGTCAATCTCGAAGGTCGCCATTGACCATCCGCGATTGAGCCCGACCAAGTGCTCCATCTCGAACCGCTCCAAATCCTTGCTGTTCTGGATCTCTATGATCACAAGAGGCGCAAGGCCAGGCTCCACCACGAGCTGAAGCAGGCCATTGATGTCGATCTCCGCCATTCCCATTCCGCCATTTACGCGCCGCACGAAATGCAACAGCTTCAACGCAAGCGGATTGAGGGGCGTGGCATTGCTCTGCCGGGAGATGCATGTCGGCGGTGCGGCGTGACTCTCTTCACGGCGGCTCTCCGGATGCTCACTCGTGTCAGAGGCATGTGTTCCTGGAGGCGGTTGATGCTCACTTTCAGGAGCCCCCACGTTCACAGCCAAGGGCGTTGCGTCTCTGTCAGCTTTGGGCACGCGAGGAGGACCATTCACACCGTCGGTGTTGGACGTGTTAGACGCGGTAGCGGAAGCGGGTGCAGCGGGTGCACGGGAGCGTCTGACAGAATGTCGTGGACGAACAGCAGAGCGTGTAGACCGGCAGACGGTGCAGACGAGGAGGGCCTTGCCACGGCGGAAAGCCCTTGACAAGGGGTCCGCCGTGACTTATGGCCGCCATAAACCTGGGCGTTGGGGAACCATCTATTGCAGAATTCGCATACTACGCGTGGCAAAAAGCCCATGTATTCTAGATCCGTCTAAGAGTGGTGGAATGTAGTGTGAGGAGACTAGCGAGTTTGAAGCTTCTAAACGCTTTTACTTCACGGTCAATGAAGGCTCAGACTCCAGCACGCCTGGCACTTGATCGTGGCACATTAGTGAGAGATTGGCTAACAATGGTCGCGTAGCGCGGCCGTGACAAGCCTAGATTCAGACCGCCGACAGCACGGCATAGGCCTTCTCTACAAGGCGTGTCGCCCCCTGTTAGAGTGATTACGACGTGAGCAGGGCCTTATGCAGTGGTGTACGGCTAGCTTGGTCGCAAGCGTGCGTGACAAGCACGGTGAGGAGTACGTGCGTAGGGCCTGTGCTTCATACCAGTCCCTCTAAGCACCTTCTTGAATGTCCGTGCAAGAATGGATGACGATCCATCAGCATACGCAAACGGATTCACCATGTCGCGCAACCCCAGCAGGCTAGAACGCTGCATCGTCGCACAGTCTAAACATGGCTGTCGATAACGCATCACCGCTTGTGCGTAGGGCCTGTGCTTCATACCACTCCCTCTAAGCACCTTGTTGAATGTCCGTGCGAGAATGGATGACGATCCATCACCATACGC